TAAGCATAATGGCTTCTTTCATATTTCCCATAAGAGTGATTATTATCAAGAATTGTAGAAAAAGTGCAAGAGCAAACAGCTAAGGGGTGGGTATTAAGGGCAAGGTTTTACACTATTCTGTCTTAAATACTCCTCCTTATCTCCTGGTACGCGACAAATTATAAGGGACTCAAAAAGTTTTACACTATTCTGTCTTAAATACTCCTTATTTACTGGTACACAACAAACTATAAGGGACTCAAAAAGCTTCAGAGAGAGAGAGAAATACATGTGAAGACAAATAATCTGAGAAAATATCTGTATGGTAAAAAAAGATCTGGGGTCTGCATGCACAGCTTAGATATAAATAAAGAGATGCTATTAAAAAAGGTTCCTCTCCTTTTGGGATTTGTTGGTAAGGAATATCACATGCAAAACACAGGAAGTAACTGTTCTGACCCTCTGTTATGGTGTGATTTCAGTATTTGGAAAGGAGCCACAAGATAAAAACCTCAGAAAACACAAATTATGAGGAAATGAAGAAGCCAGCCTAGAAGAACACATGATATCAAAAACCCTCCAGTGTGAAAGACACTTATAAAGAACTTACTCCTATACATACAAAACAAGCACGTGCTGAAAAACATGCATCTATTAAAGAAATGTCTTTTAATTATTACAATGGCAGAATATTATCATTGTTTTCTGCACGGAAATAATAACAAATTTCCTAGCAAGCATCCTTGGCAAGTGTTTTTTGGAGATAAATAAAGCATGCTTAGTCATCCCTTAATGAAGCCACATCCTGCGGTCATTCTCTACCCAACCTATTTGTGATGGAGAACCTGATCACGAAAGAGAGATGTCAGAAACGCACCACTAAATCCAAGGATCCAGTCATAAAGATCAAGTTTCAGGGGGGAAAGAGGGAAGGGTTGGGGGGGAAGAGAGAAATTAACACTTTCTAGAAGTTCAGGCTTAATTGTGCCAGTAGCTCCCCTTCATCCTGAAGCAGACACCCATGAGGGTGAAGTCACTTCAGAAGACCTACTTGTAATTTTTCTGCAATTTTGATTCAAAGTGTTTAGGGCCTACTAACTTCCTTCATTTCTGATTCTTCCCACCACTGAAATCTGTCAACTACAATTATTTTAAGCTATGTCCAAACAGTAGCTGTATAAAAATCAAAGACTCCATCTAAAGTTAGAAAAAAAGTTGGAATAAAAAGCACACACAACTTACCAAATAAATTGGTTTTCACAGTGATAGACAGATGAGTGTTATTTCTAAGAATTTCCATGGCTTTTGATAGCTGAATGTTCTCAAAGTTTTGACCATTCACTTCCAGTATCTGAAAATACAACCAGTTGGTGTTACTTTTTTATTTAGCAGAAAGAGAAGAGAAAAGCATTTTAAAAACACCTACCTGGTCTCCACGTTTCAAGCCGGCTTCCGTAGCTTTGCTTCCAAAATCTACACTGTCCACAAAGATTCCAAATCCCTTTTCTGACCCTCCCAGCAAAATAAAAGGCAAAGGGGCTTCTCGAGATGGCTTTGTTAAGGTTATCAATCTTCTTTTAGCTTTAGCTGCACAAGCAATATTTAACAGCCTCAAATGTCCACCCATTTTCTACAAGAGAAAGAGAAAAGCATAAAAATATAAATATAAAATAGCCTGCATAATAAGCAGCCTGCCTGCTTGCTGCCACCCCAAACTGCCAGAAAACAAACATTCCTACCTCTCTCTCCAAGTTGTTCTCAAATTCCTCCAGAAATCGAGTCATAGCAGGATCCCCTTCAAAATCATTGAAGTGATTGTTCACCCACAACAATACTACCCGTGTAACCTGAAAATTAACCACGAACATGAAGATTTTCCAGCAATGACCAGATCAGCACTACTGCTAAGACTTTTAGAAATACTGCTCATCAGTGATTCAAAACTCATGCTTTGAGCTGGGTCTAAAGCTCCATTTTTTACTTCAGTTGCCTCTAAAATATAGCTGTATTTCTTTTGTTATGGGCGAAAGCAGTCTGGAAAATGGAGGAGGAGAAAGGCAAAATACCTGAGGAGCTGGAGTCAAAGAAGGACCTCTCAGAAACGTGCTACTCACTAACCCTAGTGCTTCTTTGCACGTGCCCAGCACCAAAGCCCTTGTAGTCACTTGTGCTGAAGGCATATGGCTAGAACAGCCTAAAATAAATCCCGACATCCTCATGGGATCTGCATGGGAGACGTTTTGGGTTTACACAACTGCTAAGGAGGTTCTTACATGTCCAACAGAGCAAGGGAATTCAGAAGAATTGCTGAAATTCATGTCCAAGCTGACAGACAACTTTTGGGCAGCAAACAGCTTTTGGAACTTCTTAGGGAGTTTGCATTTCTAAAAGGAGATAACTGCATCCTGCATGTGCAGCAACTCCTAGCCACAGTGCGTAGGCTAGGGGGAGCATTTCTGGCATATTTGAGATTTTTATTTAAAAATGAAGACAAAACTTTCTTACTTTTGGTTTAATCTCCGTGTTGCTTTTCATTAGTATGGATCACACTGAAAGATCCAGATGAAAGTCACCTTGCTTTAGGCTATGCACAGTTTTTATTTTTACAATGGCTGGGAAGTTTCAAGCCAGCCCATGTAACATATTGAAAATGAAACGTTTAACATAATTGATAGAATCCACTTAGCTTCAGGTTAAAAAAAAAAAAAAAGAGGTATTTTTTATGCTAGCAATGGATATTTGACGAAGTCATGTAAAACTGCAAATAAAGCACTGCAGAGCCTCAGCAGACAGTGCTATCAGCGTGCCAGGCCTGAATATACAGGGCCTTATTCTCCCATCATGTCAGTTCTGTTTGGGGTAAAGGGGATTTAATAGCTTGTTCTGTGTTGGTGCTTAATGCTGTGCAAGGGTCAGCAAGAAAAAGGCTCGATACATTTTTTTTTTTAAAATGGCTGTATGTTCTAATGTCTTTATGTAAAAAAAATTATCAAACAGTGATTGTCAAGTTCTGTTAACCAGCATTATATAAGAGAAATAAAGGACTAGGTTATATGCTCAAATTCCAAGGCAAAAGAGAATTCTATTGAATAATGTTAGATAAAAAATGCTCATTATTGAAGAAAAAAAAACTTGGCTATATTTACAAGTAACTAATTTATATTGTAAAAACACAAGGGAAAAAAATCCTGGAACACATTAGTATTTGAAATAAAGTGCATCAAAAATAAGACTTTTATCCATATATTCTGCTTTAAAAAATGCACCAAATATTTTTTATGCCTTTTTCAGCTATAGTCACTCTCTTGAAAATACAGTAAATTCTTATTTTACTCTTACTAACTTATCTTTCAATGCAAATGATATAAGATACACAATTTAGGGAATTTTAACCTTATCCCTGAGGCTGGGGTCATTGAACCACTCCAACAACTTCTTGCCCACTTCCATTGGGCTGGAGAGAAAGGTCCGATAGGTAAGCAGGAAATCTTCTATAAATGTTGGGTCTACCACAGAGTGCTCCTCCACCAGATGCATTGTTAGCCTTTCAGCTGTTCCCTGTAACAAATAAATCCTTCTTTATTAAAATCCATTTCAAGTAAATGCACATTTGCTATCTGGTAACATGCTACATTAAATTAGAAAGAATAATAAGGGCATCTATTGACTGATGAACTAAGCAAGCATACTAGCTTTATCATTCCAATAGGAAATTGAGTGATTTTATGTAACGAAGTTATACAGACATCATCCAATTACCAACGTCTGTAATTCTAAACAGAAAAACTACCAATATTAACTCCTGATTTCAAAGTGTCAATGCTTTTGAATCCCTATCCCTATGGATCTCAGGTTTTACTTGCCAATGGAGCATGCCTGACTTTGGCAAGCCTCTCCTCTAGCTTTCGCTTTTACCTTGATGACAATGTGACCTTTCCTGGTCCCAGTGCGGTCAAGCTCCCTGTGCTCCTTCACCATCACGATCTCCCCTTCCTCTTCCACCTTCTGCATGTTCTTTTCCACTTGGTTGAGGATGCGGCAATAATCTTGCTGGGCTATACAAACAAACTGGAAGAACCATCACGCACGAGGATTAGAAGAGAAAGTCCTCAGAAAACTGTTCACACTTAAGATACAAGTGCTCTATTATTATAAAAGCAGTCTCTCAAGCCACAGTTGGCCAAACTCAACTGTCCAGCAACTCAGCTGCAATAAGCAAATATATACTCAAGAACGGTAACCCTGCTGCAATTTTGCTCTTAAAATAGATCAAGATTCATCAGTGCAAAACGATTTTTGCATTACTAGGCATTTTTGTTCAGTTGCTCTTAACTCCCCCTCTGCTGGAAAGTCAGTCTTCGAAATCTGACACTTTTTTCTTCACATTTTAGCTGCTGGGCGGCATTTAAAAGATGTAAGCAAAAATTAAGGGAAAACCTTATTCCTGATTTTTGTGCCCACTGTTAGTGCCAGTGATTTTCATTTTTCATAGCAACCACATGAAGTCAGTCATTAACAAAGCTAATAATTATTTGTTTACATAAGTTCTGGCATATAGAAATAAATCACTCCTAGACTGAAGTATAATGCAGAAGAAAAATTTTCTGCCATCATCAGCTCAGCACGGTCTAGGTGAAAGAATAAATACCTTAGGAATATTATACAATTAAGCCCACCCACTAAAATTTGCAAAACTTTTAGATTGTATTCACAACAAATAATCTTCTGTAATTTGTTAAATGTTTAAGATGTTTATTTCTTTTTTATGGGTGAATACTGAAGATTAAACTGCCATCTCTCATCACCTTGGATCACTAACTGAAAAGAAATTATGTGTTTCTTTTCATTGCTAGTTGTAAATCATCATGGACTTAGGGCAAAGGCGTGAGCCTCACCAAGACAGTGTTTTTAACTGTGCTTCAGAGCACAGGACGGAGAGCTTGCATTGCTACGAGATTCACTGCCCCATTCCAGCAAGGAAGGATGGCTACTGCCTGCAGAAGGGAGAGGCCACACGGAGTAGGGCAAACAGACCTTGAGCTTCTCCCAGGAGAAAGCCTGAAGCAACAAATAGAGGCAACAAGGTGCTGGGCCTCAGTTTCTGGAGAAACTGCGTGGACAAAACTCTTCACCCCAAATGGTTCCTCTACTGGACCAGGGGAATACGATTTCCTGGACTGTGGATACAAACAGCAGGATCCATCTCTCCCCAGCACTGGCAGGGTTATGCACTGGAGGTTTTATATGTACTCAGTTTTAAATAAAATTGTATTTGTCCATTTAACCACATTACTTCTGTGTGCTTGTTATTTTGAATATCAAAAACCACATAACTGATTTTTTGTTATGCAAAACAGGTATTCTGCACAATAATTAAAAAAAAAAAAAAAGGAAAGAAAAAAAACACTCTACCTGGCAATCATCTACTTTGGTTCTCATTACTCCTTTCATATATTCCTTCTCCATGGTAGGGGAAACACCAAAACTGTTTCCCATGCACAGTATCTCTGTTCTTCCATCAGGATACGTCACCTCCACAGAACCATTCAAAATGACTGACCAGGAATCCAGCTATAAATGAAATATTGCAGGATACATGAAGTCTGAGAGACACTTCACAGTCTATTATCATATTATACAGATACAATCCCCATAGTATACAGATACAATCCCCACAGTTATTCTCAAGGAAAAGAGTTAATTTTCAATCTACTAGTCACAATGTTTATAAGCTGGTTTACCTCAAAGATGTTACCATTCCCAGCTCAAGAAAACTGGAATCTTTAAACTCTTAAAAGTGAAATAAAATTATGCAGAACAGAAATAAATGGAAGGTTTTGAAACACTAGAACGCAGAATCAGCTCCAAGAGGCACGAAGCATTTCTGTGCACGTTATAATGAGCATTTTCTTATGCTTTTATTGTAGGTGTTTAGAATGCTGTGCGAGCGCTTAAACAGAAGGTTTTGATCTAACACTCAACAAGAGAGGCTTAATTTAGATGCTCGAAGCTACTTTTTCTCTTTGAAAAGCCCCGCGAGAGGCCCACGGCGCTGCGCGGTCCCGGGGGCGCCGGCGCAAGGGCTCCCAACCTCCTCGCCGTCGTTGAGCACGATGGTCCCCGCTCGCTCCACGACGGCGAACACCATCACGGCGCACAGCTCCCTCCTCACCGACATGGTCATGTTGGCGAAAGCAGGCAGCTGGTGCATGAATTCCAGGAGTTGCTCTGAAGGAGAAAAAGCCCTCGGAGTCACACATGTCAAAACAGGAGAGCGCAGCAAAGGCGGATCCACAGGGAGCCCCGGGGCTGCTGAAGCTAAACGCTGCACAATCGTTTCTGTCTACTGGCAAATCGTGTGCAGGGGCCTGCTGTAATCACTGGGCATTTCGCAGGCGCACAGGGGCTGCTCACATCGCCAACAGGGAGGGAGCACAGTAATGGGAGAGCTGTAACGCAGCCAAGAGCTCCGAGCACCGCCAACGGACACGCAACGCGCCGAGCGGCCGCTGCAATCGTTCAATTAACGCCGCGCTAGGCTTATTTAAAACACAGCAAGTGGTTACGATGGAAGACTTCCCAAAGCCAGGCGAGCTGGTTGGTCAAGTGGAGCCTTTGGAGTCTGCACGAGTGTCACGGGCACATTGGCACTGCTGCACAGGTGACTACTGCTAACGCACCCCGCGCACACTCAGGGGAGGGGCACTCACACTCACGCTCACCAGCAACCTCTTCATTTTCCCTTTCTGCATTGTGTGCTGCCACACAGAGCTCTGCTCCTAATAATTCTGCTGAGGGCTTAAGTCCCTAATACAGGATGTATTTTGCATTTAGTTGTACCTAATAAAATAGTCAATTTAACCCCAACTTGTTTTTATTTTTTTTAATTTATAACTTAATGAAAGAGAAAAATGGTTTTAAGAGGGAGTTAGTGAAATTTTTTTTGTTTGTTTTGTTTTTTTTTAATTTATAATTTAATGAAAGAGAAAAATGGTTTCAAAAGGGAGTTAGTGAAACGGATTAGGTTAAAAAGCATAAGAACTAAAGTTTGAGTCCTGTATTGCTTTGCTTTCGGTGTATTAGGCCATATGTCAACACAGCATATTACGTTTAGTAAACACACCCTCATGCAAAGGCTTTATGATTCCAGTATTTTCTTTTAAACACAAAGCATGCGGGAGTGTAAAATCACACACAACATCACAACATATGATTAACAAAAATGTGATGAACACCCGATTCAGGCTGACTTTGCCAAGGTTTTGTAAACTTGGTCCGAACAGCCACAATCTTTGCTTTAGATTTTCACTTGATATTTGTAAAATCAATTACAAGTTGAATCCTGAGATCTAACAGGCCAGCACGGAAAACATTTGGCCACTCCACGGGCATTTTCAGTTTCTCCCTTGGATGCACTCATTCGTTTCTTTTTAAGAATAAGCTTGCAGAGTAAACACTAAACACACCAAGTACAAAAGCCTCTGACTAAATTAAAACCTCAGGCTAAAGAGGAACATTTCTCTGGTGCAGGCAAACAGCCTTCACAGTGTTTCCCTCCACTGCATTAACTCACCAATGTCGTCATCAGTCCGGTCTATTGGGTCTTTCTCCAGGCAGTCTCTAACAATGTCTCTACTCATCAAAGGATCCGATGCCCTTTCAATATCTTCTTCGTCATCATCATCCTCCGAATCCACTGCTGTCTCTGGCAACCCACTGAGATCCATATCACCAGTCTCGCTTTCTGTAGCCTACATTCACAAATAAATTCAAGAAAATTAAAGCACTCAAATATGTTCTTCACTGCTACCATGTCCTAATTAAATACACAAAAATGATTGTAACAACCTAAGAGATAACCACTTCCTTCACTCAATATTTTTGATACTGCTTTTTTTTCTTTATGTTTCTTTTTAAAGGAACTAGCTACATTATTGACCCCAAAACGATGTTTCGAACGGCCTTCAAACCTGGTTTGAATCAACCATGTGCATATAGGATTCAACCATATGCTTTTAATCAGTAGGTCTAGGGAAAAGACAAAGCAGATGTATGGTAAGAAATAACTTTTGGGAATAATAGCTGAAAATCTTATTTTTTTAAAAAACAAACATGTCATTTAAAACACATTCTCCTCCGTCCTCACTATTCTATTTTCAGACCTTTACAAATGTAATGCCTGTAACTTCAAGCAAACTTAGTTTGAGGGACCATGCACAGCATCCAAATATTAACAGAATTTTGCTATCAAGTAACCTAGGCCTTTTTCATTCCCCCAGCTGAAGGTGGTTAGCTATGGCTTTTATTTATTCATTTATTGATAAACACTATAAAATTTACCAGATGCATGAAACAATGTGAAGTCATTGCTGAAAAAAATAAACAAACCATAGATGGACTACACAGAGTATCTGCCAAATTGAATCTGCTAGAAATTCGTATTAAGATGACCAAAAATGCTCGGGGACATTCATATAGCACCTAGAGGTAAATACATTTTAATGACTCAGTTTTAAGACCAGACATCCAATAAATCCCACAGACATTTGTCTGTCACGGCAGATAAAGCTGCTTTTCCTCGGAACCTGATTTAATCCCGCGGCAGCTGCTAGGGCTCAGCTATCACGATTTTTAAGGCAAAACGAGCCTCCACAGGGCAAGTTTTCCGGCACGACAAAGGAGGTTCCACGCAGGCCACCAAGGAGCCCCCAGGAGCTCTCGCGTGGGACAAACGGGGGTATCGACATCGGCACAAACACGCCAGGGCTCCAGGCAGGGCTTTCACTGCTGGGTTTGCTCGCTGCTGCATTCTCCACGGGAGCTCCAGCTACTCCGACCAAACAGCAGCCCCCAGTTGGGACCAGGGTCAAAGCTAGCAGGGATGAGTCAGTAGACATGAAGCTGATGACACCCATCTGTCGAAATGTTAAATTCCCAATTTTGGTGGCTGTTACTAATTCACTAGCCAATTTTGAACATCTTCCCACTACCAGTAAACGGCATTTCTACCTCAAAAGCATGATGGTAGGATGAACGCAGCGTTCACTTTAGTCCCACAACTACATATATATACATATAACACTAACGTGTATGAGATACTTTGGAAACCAAGATTCCATCGGTCTCATTAAAAAAAAAAAAAAAAAAAAAAAGGAAAAAAGTTACTCGACTATGTTAAAAAAAAAAAAAAAAAAAAAAAGCTGTAATAGAAGTCAAAGTTATAGCTGTTTTAATTTTCACACTGACATTAAATGCAAAAGATATTTCTAAAACTTGTAACTAAAGACCATAAACATTTTCCCCAGAGGACAGCTTTTTACAGAGTTAAATCTTTTTGACAAATAAAGTCACTGGTAGAAACCAGAATGATAACACGACTATTTCTAGATTAATTGCTATCCAAAAATAGAAACCACCAAATTTACAGGCAGTGCAAAAATTGCCTTATACACAGCATAAACCTGCTCTTAACAAAACTGCTGAACATTCTCAGGCCTCAGTATTACATCCATCTTACACTTACACAGGAGGTGTAAAAGCAGGTGAGATAACAGCATTATATTGCTGCACCGCCTTCTCACAGTACAACTAAATATTGCAGGGACAGTTTTGCACGCTGTATTTCAAGGTTGCAGGAGCACTCATTTGTATGATGCTAAAGATGGAGCTGATTCCAGCCAACGGATGCTGTATTTCCCAGCAGCACTGGCCTACAGTGCAGGGTCTGCAAGTTCACCAGGAAGCATCACCGCAAAAGCATCCATCGTCCAAGCGTTATGGATTAGGAAAAGGATTCCATTAGAAGTTGCAAAGCAGAGATGGCCTTTCATTGAGTGCTGGACAACTTTGCGACAACAGAAGAGTTCATCCGATCAGCTGTCTTTTTTGTATTGCCAATGACAGCAACGCAGCTTGCTTAAACAAATACAGCTCGGAGTTATATGGGATGATCCAGCGTAAAAAGAAAATGCATTAGGGTAACGCAGCACACCTTTACAAGCAAGATGTATCTTCCAAAAAAAACAAACCCATTTTCACAAGCAGCTTTCTGAACACATAATGATTTGGTTACGCACTTGACTGCAGCATCCCCCCAGAAGCAAGGCATTCTCAGCAGGCCAGAACCCCTTCTAGCTTGGACGCGCAATACGTTCCTCGCTAGTCCTGTTACAGCACGGAGCAGGGCCGGCTGCGCCGTCACGTCAGGCACACGTGTTAGCCGACCTACAAGCAGCCCACGAACCCCTCGGTTCTTCATGCGGAGCCGTTTCCACAGGACACCGCGCGTCCCCTCTGGGGACACGGCAAACCTCCCCTCCCGCCGCCTTCTGCCGCCGTGGCGCTCCCGCGCGCGTGAGGAGACGGAGCGAGGCGGAGCTGGGCGCCCTCGGCCATGAGGCAACTGCCGTGCGCTCGTGGAAGAGCCAAGGGAAGCCCCGATTAGCTCCCTTGAGGCAGGGCCGTCCTTGGAAACGTCGGCCTCAGAAAATCCCGCGGACCTGACGAACACTCATGTAACGCGAGCTAGAGTCAATCAGGAGCCTGACAGATTCCCAGGGCTTCTCATCGAGAATCCCATACGCCACTGAAGTGAGTTCATAGATGCTCGGTGTCCTCTGTTCTTTGGGTAATTAAAGATAATCAGCTTCATTTACATACAACTCTATAGAGGTTACGCAAGAAAAAATGCAGGTTGGAGCTTAACCAGAAAGCAGCATCTCTCCAAAACCTGAACAGCAGTTGCAGGGAACATTTTCCTCTTAGGGAACAGATTTTTTCTTTTTTTTTCCTCCACAGTGGAAAAGATGTCATGAGAAATTTGCTGAAGTTTCAGAGGAATCACATAATAGTGACAGCCTAAGATTTTACTTGTCACATCACCAACAAGAAAGTCTGGAGACAAAGACTGACATTTTCAAGCCTGATAACGAAGTTATTTCACGCTAGGTAACGAAGGAAGGGGAATTGTCGGGTTTGAAGCAGGACCTAGCTAGACCAGTGTCCCAGTAGCATAGAAAAGGCTGCTCCAACTGCTGGGCATCTACAATACCAACCTGACTTCTTCGTCAGCAGGATCACCCCCTTTACCGCCTCCTTTCCTACTTCAACTAGTTCTCTGGGTATCTGCGGAGACACGGAGGCTCCCAAGAGGCTGATCCGATAGATCTATTTCTTTACAGCTGCGTTACTTTTCCTTCTGGCATTATAATTACTTTTATTTTCCCCCTCACAGACATGCTTTACTACGGAAGAGAGAGCAGGCAGAGCAGGAGAACCTCGTACAAGTGAAGGGTCTTCACACTTCTCCTTTCTATCCTGGACTGGAGACAAAGATTCCAGCAGATCTTGACAATACAGAAAAGAAAAACTAAAACGGGTTAACCACACTAACTACTGACAGATCCTCACTTTTTAATATTTTAAACAATTCTTTTATTAGACTTGCTTTTTCATCCAAATGTTCCCTAAAGTTTGTTTTATTATTAAAAAAAAAAAAAAAAAGCACTCATTTTGAAGGATAAATCTCTTGCTATGACTAATGTCACCACCTACACTGACAGTGCAAAACACCCAAAACAGAGAAAACAGGCAAGCCCAGTCCCAGAATAACTTATCTTTTGATCATTGCATTTGAAGGAGGGCTTAAAAAAGAAACTGGAATTAAGAACGCCGATTGGCAAAAACATCATTTTGAGATATCTTAATTCATAAACCATTTACTACTGCTGCAAAACAGCGAACACAGGTCCTGTATCTGCAGTGAAACTGTGTGCAAAGGCCCCGTGAACTTGCGCAGGTTTGTTACGCAGCAGCTTCCAATGCACTGCATGGAACATGACACACCAGATTACCACGAAACCCAGTCCACGCAGCTCCACCTGGAAGGGGTGACGGAGCACCGCGCGCACGGGAAGCTCTTCCTAAGCCTGGGAAGCAGCGGTAAAGGCTTTTCCTTGCCAGGGCAGCACGCAGGAGAAGCAAAAGATTCTTGTTCTGGCACACACAGCCCACTAAGCATCCAGGATGCCCTTCCTCCCCAGCCCCATTGCAGTCTCGCACTTTATGGACTCCATCCCTAAAATAAAAGTAGTAACATTTAAAGGCCCTCCTGACAGGCACCTCAAATATTTTTTCAGGCTTGGGTGCAGTTAAAAAAAAAAAAAAAAGAATTATATGGTCCAATTTGACAAGTAATTCTTATCCTAAAAGAAGTCCTTTCATGTGCAGTGTTTGACAAACAAATTTAGTTACAGCATTAATATTTAAAAGGAAGTATTCTCAGCTCGGCGCTGAAAGCATCTGAAGGTTCAGCTTCATGATTTATTCAAAAAAAGAGAAATCTAAAAAGGGCAGGAATGTATTTTCATTGCAAACAGCTGCTCTTAAGGCTATTGAAATAAAATGTACTATGATGCAAAACATGACATATCATTAACTCAGATTTCAATAGTAAAGACCTAATTAATGGTATAATTTAAGAAAGGAAAACATTTATTTTATTCCTTGGTTGAAAGATAAGATGGCAATCTTTCAAAATCAGCCCATTCTACTCAGACATAATGAACAGAAGTCCGTTCTATTGAAAAGAAAAAATCCCATTATGTACTGAACACAAAATCAGAAAAACAATACCAAGTTTGGTCTAAGACCTATTAAAATAAAAGTACAAAAAGGAACAGCTCGATGACTTGGGTTTATTGTTTCTAAATAAAAACTTGGGGAAAAAATAAAAAGCAAATAATTAGGGGAAGCAGACTGATCCAATGTCTCAGTTTCAAAAAGTAGCTTCTACTTTATTTCACTCTTGTCTCACCTGAGAGAATTCAAATTTCTGCAGCAGTTCTATTTATTTTGTGGGTTTTTTTTTTTTGCATTTGTTTAACCTAATATAACCTGAATATGTCTGCATTACACTCCTTCAGGAATGGAAGTGAGGTAAGAAATTAATGATTTGCTGCAATATGAAAAAAACTTTTAAAATGACAATACTCAATATGCAAAGCTAAAAATTTAAGAACCTTAAGATTACCATTTCCACACCTGAATTCATCAGTTCTTTTTTTCAAATAAATACATCTTAAAGAGTTAAGTATTAACATGAAACATAAGGTTACATTCTGAATTACTTGCTCACATTTCGTAGCAGCTGCACACACAGGAATTATGTTAGTAATTATTTTGACATATTGTACAATTACATTTATCTGAAGATATCTGTGCCAAGCCGTCTTTGATAAGGAATTAACTTCAAAGTAATTAAGAAATGAGATATTTTCCTTAAGATCACCAAGAATGACAAAGTGCCTCCAATAAAGGTAAGTGCACCTTAAAAATGAATCTAAAGTACAATGTGAAACAAGAAGAAAAGTATGGTTTCCCCATGCAAAAACTCCACAAAATCAGCAGCAGCACCCATGCTGTTAACTCCACCATTGCGAACAGCAGCTCCTAGGAAGACCTGCACCAGACACGTGCAGACACACAGAAATGGTTTTCTGCAGTTTCTGCAGTATCCTCCACACCCCTGAAATTCGGTGATCCTTTTTAGAGCTAACAGAGCCTTGTGGAAACTTTTTGTGAAAGTTTTCCCTCAACTCTCCTAGAAAAGCAGCTATATGACTATAATCTATCTAAATGCCACCTACAACTGGGTCCCTAGAGGGACCTGTTATTGTTATGTTAAAGAGTAAAATCTTGGGAATAAAGGAGATGAAAATCTATAGAGGATTTAAATAACAAAGCTGGTTTTCCATCTTCACCCTCAGAGTATAAACTTAATCTTGTCTCGAAGCAATCTTCTCTTCAGAAGAAACTGTGACAAATATACTTGATTGACACACTGTGCTTAAAATGCTCGGCTACTTTGACTTTTTTCTTAAATAAACCTTGGAGTTACTGCAGCTGCTAATAAGACTGAACTGAAGTTGTTTTTAACCTGCCTTCTCCACAGAAAAGCCTGCAGGTTTATTCCCTACAGCTCCGCACTGAAACCATTCCAGCTACAGCCGAGGCAGCACAGGCAACACCCGCACGGGCAGCCTGTACCAACGTGTGCAACAGGCAGCACCAGCCCAACAGCTCAACCCTGCACGCTCATGTACACTTCTCCCCTTATATCAATGCCCACATTTACTTACGTTGACTTTCTAACATTTTAAGCACCATGCAGTACTTTATGGAGAACTAGCATGCTATTTTTTTAGCTTTTTTTTTTTTTTTTAAATACAATAACGCTTTTTTAAGAAATCAAATTTAATTAAGAATAACAAATTACTTTCCCTATCACAGGGACAAATCCTTGTCTTTGAAGTTGCAGGCACTGCTAAGATCAAGAGCAAAATCTTGACTTTCTCCATTCATTATTTCAGTTGGGTTTTATTTTCTGTTTTTCCTAATCTGTCTCTACATTGCGAACACACCCCCCGCAAACGCTCCAGGGATCAGTTTTACAGCGAGTCTCTCAAACTCTCAAAGCTCACACTGCTCCACACGGAGAACAAGGTTGTCCCCCTAGGGACATGAATTTAAAAGGTCTCGCAGCTCAGCCCCCAGCTCTCCCCCAGGTGCCCAGGGGAAGCAAACGGACCAACAGGCTCAGTCTTGAGCTCAGGTGGGGGAAATGGCATTTGCCCCTCGAGTCAGGTCTGCACGCGTGGTCCTCCCTAATACTGAACGTGGTCTAGTCTTTGAAGCTATCAAGATATTGTAAAATACGGCATTGAGAAGAAAAATCCTTCACATCTGAGATCCTATCAAATCTTCATGGTTTTAAAATTCTGATCTAGCTTTTGATAATACCCGTCCTCAGGCCCTTTTCATCAACGCATCTCAAAGGGTTCTCCAAACAGCAGGAAGCCTCTGCTCCCATTTTGCACGTGGCAGACACACGGAAAAGCCAAGTGAAACAAGGTGGTCAGGAGCAGAGCCCTCTCTCTCGAAGCCACACTGCCTCTCCACAACGAAATCCAGGACCGTTTCCTCTCCAAAACACTTCTGAATGCAAACAGGCTCCACGGAGCACACGGCCGAGGAAGGTGCCCATCCCACACCTCCACGTTCCTGACACGGGGCACGAGGGAAACACGTCCCATCTTGGGTTACAGACTGCACGCCGCGTTTTCAAACACCACATCTAGCAAGCAGTGGATGCAACCCTCAGACTGCGAGCACTAGAGCAACAAGAATGTTTTGAAGTCTCCTGATGGCCTTTTTGGCAGACGAAGACTGACAACACGCAACCGCTCGGCCCTTGCTCTCCCGTGGGCGTGCGTCCCAGTCTTACCTGGTAGATATCAGAAAGGCTGCTGCTTCCCGAATCACTAGTGATGCTACATCCTGAGTGACTCGACGAAACGTGGGTCACCTGTGGGTGGAGACTGTCAGTAAGGTGCAGCTTTGTGAAATCTGCAGGAAGCTATAGATGGAGCAGAAAAAGCATCATTACAATTTGAGGTAGATACACAGCAAAAGGACTTTAAATCATTCATATCCCACTTTACTCCCTGCCAGCACCAACTGCTTTAAGGAAACCACGGGGGATTGCGAACGCGGCTCGCAAACTGGAGACCTGCAGCGTTTTTTAATTCATTCAGAGGTCAGCAAAATACCACCAAGTGCTGCAAGTATTCTAGGAGCTGCTAAAATACATAGCTGAGGGCGAAGAAACAGTTAAGCAATGGCCCTAATGACCAAACTCTTTAGTATTTTGCTATGGGGTGCAGATGGAACTAACAGTGGAATCTTGTACTAGCGTCAACGGCAAAACAAAAGCAAAACCCCACGCCACAGCGCTCTGCCTTTGGCTAACTCCTTAGCTTCTTCAGCTCATCGAGTGCATCGTAGACAAGCGAACTGCAAGGCACTGACCTGCCTTGGAGCCAGGGAACGTGACGGCAACGTGGGAGCCTTGGAACGCTGCCGCGGCAGCAGAGCCGCCAGCCCGACACGTGTCTGCTCACGTGCGTTGTGCGCCCTGAGCGGGGGGCTCCGTCCAGCCACCACCGACACGTGCGCCGCGTCTTTCCTCTTTACGCACGCGGCTCCCGCGGGAATCCGCGAGCGTCACGCTGCAGAAAGGGACCTTTCCTAAGGAAAACACTTAACGTCTGCACAAATATTGAAAGCGCCTTTCAAGAGCAAATGTAGTCACTCCTGCTCATTGTCCCCAACGAGCTTTCAGACTATTGCTAGTCAATAGTAGCCTGGTTGGTAAGGCAGGCTTGGAGAAACACGGTGGGCAACAAGGTGCTGCAGCTGCTGCAGCTAAAGGTGCTCAGTAATCCTGCTGCTTTTTGCCTGGTTTTGGTCTGTGCTTATGGAACCCACCTGGCCCGAACCTTGGCTTTAGGAGCGGGGATGGCAGCAGGCGCCCTGCAAACCTCATCCTACCCAGCCCCGCTGCCTCGAGTTGGGGGAATTTGCTCTGCTTTTCCTGAAGGAGGGGCTAAACCCAGGAAGCAGCTGCCACCAGCTCCAAAAGGCTTCCAAGAGCCCGGGCTCTATTTCATTTTCAGATGCTGATCAACAACGCATGGGTAACACTCTAACCCAGACAGCCCTGGATGATGCCTCCCGAAAAAACCCAAAAACCTCTAATTATGTTCACCACTACTGTTTATACACCCGAAAAGAGAAAATAAAAGAATATGGATTGCTTATGCCCGTTTTCTCAGCAGCATTCCTTTTTCACCCACAGCCTTCACTTGGTACCAAAGTGCAGATCATTTACTGATAACCAGGCCATGGCATTCACTTCTGCCCATGATCCGGAGCGCGCTGCAGCGGAACGCGCGCTCCACCGGCAGGGTGCACGGGCAGTGAATCACCCTCTCCCCACGTGAGGGATGAACACGTCGCTCACTGTGCCCTCCCAGCACACGGCCTCCCAGAACTAGAGCAGTCCAGGTTCATTTCCAAGCGGAAAACCCATATATTATTTTAACACGTATGCCCAAACTGCGTTAGATCCAACATCTAAAGAAAAATCACCAAAAAACAGTGATGAATTGAGAGTTCTTCCTTTTATAAAGCAGAAGCTATTTCAATCACCAATAAAGAGCAGCTCCAGAGAGGAGCCAATGTCGGCTCAGTTTGAGCTCTGCCAAACACGCTGCTTTTGCATCATGACTTTCAAACACATCAGCAACAACTGCATTTATTTCATCAGTGCAATCACAGTTCTTAAGAGAATCTTACACCAAACCAAACCCAGGCAGTGATTCTTCTTGTGCAAACTACATGTAATTTATCTTTTTTTTTTGTTTGTTTTGTTTTGCACTCAGTATTTCTATGCAACTAGCCTTTCGTTCAATCGTTTAGCACTGACGTTAGCAGTTAGCATCACAGGAAAAATAAAGGTGTTCCTGTAATGTTTTAAAGCGAGTCCTGTCCATAATGCAAGTTTTGTCCTCCCGAGCATGTGACAGTATAAGAAAAACGAAGTACACAGTGTTTCCCTCGAGAACATCAGCAACAGAATGCTGAAGACAGCACAGACAGCATCACTGCTGGTCTTGTATCCTCACTAAGCAAGGGCTAGTTTTAAGAAGCCATTCAAAGAAATGAGAAAAAAGCAACTTTCAGGAAACAAACACCTATCTTCTGGGACAACACCAAGCACTAAGGTGCAGATTTGTGGACCTGCTGCGTTACTGAGCGCTTGTGGTCACAGCGCCAGAATGAACCAGCAGATGGGACAAAACAGGGCAGGCTAGCCTGGGAAAATAAATGTGCCACTCACTCTAGAGCAAATGCATTTTTAAAATATATAACATGTACATGATATTAAAGAGTCGGATAACTGTGCCGTTAGCAGCTGTATCGAGAAAACACAAGTGAGAAACACGTAGGCTCTGAACAGAGAGATCTCATCAAGCTTTACAGAACAACAACAAAAAATAATCCAAATTTTTAATCCAAAGCATGAACTAATGAAATGCTTAATGCTAACGATGTAATCTTCATTTGTCAGAAGTCAAACCGGTATTTTCTACTCTTGCACATAGCTCAATACGGGTGCCTGCAAACACACTTAAGGAGTTTATACACATACATTTATATATACACATATGTATGTGTAGGTGCCTTTATGTGTATATATTCACACACACACACAATATATATATGCACATAAGCGCGTATATATTCACACACACACATATATACATGCACGTAAGCGTACACACCCTCTGAGGACTCCATGAGTTTTCTCAGTGAGAACAATTAAACAAAACCAAACAATTACGGGAAGCTGTCTGAAGGGCACAGGGTTATCTCCCTTTTGAAAGGTGCAATATCTTCAAACACATCCTCAAGCTTCTTATCTTGCAGCAGCGTTTTATTACTTCCCCGTCGAGGTGAGTCATCGCTCACAGGAGCACAGCAAAGCCACCAATTACTGTGCTCTGAACAGGGCTGCTCCTATTCTGGGAACATCCCGATTCCCTCCTCCGTGCACAAGGAAAGGCCCCGGCGGAGGCCGGGTTTGCGCCGGGCTCCTGTGCCAAACGCGGGCGCTCCACGGCCCCGGTGCGTGCAGGGATTGGGCTCAATTTATTCAGACAGCATCAAAAATAAAGTGCCCAATCTCGGAATGTAATGTTAACAGACCGAGTAGTTCTGCCTGAGGAGCTCCAATAGGGCACCCACGTCGTCAAACACCTCCTAGGCCAGGTCCTCTGCTGAAGGCTGCCCAGCGCTTCAGGAAGGGTTTGTAAAGGCTGCAGAGAACCTGCAGTGCATCGGCTGAAAGAGGGAGTTTGTGAGAGCAACGTTCAGTTCAGCAACTGCTCCTGAACGACCCCGCGCCCGACGCGGGAGAGAATTCCGACCACAACTTCCGAGGGGCCTTCCCTTTTCCGCAATTAAATGAGCAAACACTGATTCTTCAGCTTCTATGACCACTCTGTAGCATCTCTTCAAAAATAAAACAGCACAATAAAAACATTCTCATATTAGCATCGCTTTAAATCTTTTATATAAGATGCACTTCGTCCCGAAAAGTCTAAATAAATTAGTTAAAACACATTGTTTTTGGTGTTCTGCATCTTTTACTACAGGAAAAGCAAGAGTCGCCACAGAATGAAGGGCTATACTATTAACTCTCTAATTTTCTTCCCAATGACAATAAAGATACAAGATCTAATTTGTAATTTTATTGCAATGGAATAGCCTACCTTACAAAACAGCATTCTGCAGTTTCTATCAGTTCAATAACATTTTATTTTTCTATTTTTATGTAGATATTTATTTTTATATTAGAAGTCTGCAAAGCTTCTGAATTCTGATGATACATCCAGGTTTACGATATTTAGTGACATATCCTGAGAAAAGGGAGAAACGTGTAACAACGGGGAGTATTCTTTGACTTGCTGTTTAACCACAGTTCTTTCATTAACCAGCAGAGACACTAAGGTGAACATTATTTTTACAGTTCAGTGATTTAAAATGCAGCAGTCAATATAAGTAATTACAGAATAATAAAGTAATTTCTATCGATTTTGTCTTTAGACATGATGCAGGCTGACATGTCCACTGTAGAGTTAAATTCAAAATAAGTTTTGCACAATTCCAATTAGGATGCAACTCCCATGGAAGCTTCGTTTCCTTATACTCAGGGGTGGGATGCAGAAAGTTGTCGGAAGCATGTGTGTATTTTCTCTGAAAAATTCACTGACAGAAGAGCTAAGTGCTTAAGACGTGAAAGGAAACCTCTTGCTTTTGAATGATGTATTTTGCATGATTCACTTAATGCAAGGGCACACAAAATATACGTCGTATTTTGAATCTATTTTCTTAATCAGACATCTTTACATGAAGAAAGTGGCTTAAAGTTCACAAAGGCCTATCTTGAGAATTCTTTTTAAATGACTCCAGAGGATAAGACAAGGCACAGCCCATACTCTGAAAATATTCCGAGTACTATTGCTATTTAGGAAAAAAAAAACAAACTCATTTTCAGACAGGCTCTATGTATGCCACTCGACGTGGCATTTCACACTTGTAGATCTTGCATAAATATTCCTGCAGCAAATATGAATGCTAATTTATTGGCAACAACTCACGAATGCCATAAAAAAAATTAAATAAAAATAGCAGCATACAAGCCTTTCTAATGACTGTGAAGCAGGAATACAAAAGAAAAAATGCATGATGTATTCGTCAAGTTAAACCAAATTAACCTGAGGTTCACATGCGTGAAATTCCGAATACAAACCATTGCAAACAGCAACAATTCTGCAACACCACAATAACTTTATTCAGAAGTGGCTGGCAGCCAGGAAATGTCTGCTCAAACACTTTACCAGCGGGGACAGGAATCCGTGCAGGTTCTGGAGTCACCACAATTCTGCTCTAAGGAGATCTAGAGAGCAAAGTAAAGAGTCTATTCTGTTTTGACTGTGGATATATATTTCA